ATGCTTGTTTTGTTTGGATTCTAGAATGCTGAAGGACAAAGGATTATATTAGTCCTTTGACAGGTAGGCTTCAGAATAATGGGCAGAAAATAATTTAATTTTCTTTTGAAAATAGCTTTCTGGCTCTGGTAAAAATGATACCTGTTTATCGTAAAAGGTTCAGAAGTACAAAGAAGAAGTTAAAAATCACCAGAAAACAGAAAAAGAAGGAAACATCAGGGATAGAACTAAAATCAATATAACTCCTTAGAAAAAAATCACCAGAAATCCAATGAACTTGTTATAGCTATTATTTCCATCATTTAGGCAAGTTTCCATACTTATATACATATTTAGTAATACATAAAACATTTCACATAAATGGGATCATATTATATGTGTAATTCCAAAACTTAATTTTCAAAAATTTCCTCGCTCACCAATATGTTGTGGAAATAAAGACCACCATTCATTATTTTTTGAAACTGCTTGGTATTCCCTTGTATGAATTACTATAATTCATTTCATCAGGCTTTATTGAAAGACATTTAGGTTGTTTCCCAATGTCCTATGTTAAAACAACATTACCAAGAGCATCCTGTATGCTTTTGAAAAATTCACAAGGATCACCTTGGAGAATATCAGAAGATATGATTTCTGGGAAATCACGAGGAATGCACATTGACATTTTGATACATATTGGCAAACCGCCCTCCCAAAAGATTGCCCCAATTTGTGCCCCATTGTGACACACATTCATCATGACTTACTTTATAAATCTTTGCTAATCTAATAGGGAAAATAATCCCAGTAATTTAATTTCTGATTTTTTTTCTTTTAAATCTTTAGTATATGTTTACTGTCTATCTGCTTTTCTTAGAAGATAACACATATAAGACTTCTAGTTTTGAAAGAGAGTTATTTATGTACAAAGAGATTTATCCCAGCATTACTGACACAAGTTAAAAAGCAGAAACAACCAAATGGGGACTCAATACACCAATTAAGGGGTAAATATGTGTTAGCATATTTTGTAGCCACAAAAAAAAGAATATTTTGCATGAATATTTAATAGCATGGGGAAATGATTATACTAGAATGTTTGAGGAAATGTCCTGAGGGGAAAAATAAAAATGCAAAATAATTTACAGAATAATTCCAAGTCTGTTAAAATATATATGTTCAGAAGAAAAAAGAGGGGAAAAAATAGAAAGACTAGAAGGAAATACAAGAAGTTGTTAGTGTTGATGATCTCGGTGCAGTGGAATTTTGGATTATTTAAATTTTCTTCTTTCTTTTTTGCGGACACTGAATTTTCTAATAGTATGGGGCTAATATTTAATTTGGTTGACGTGTTTATTATTCTCAGTGTTTTGAGGTCACTCACCCTCAGATGCTTAACATTGTCATTAATGATTTATCTTAGTAAACTAAATAGACATATGCTTTGGTTTATTCATAATACTAAAGAACGTATTCATTAGTACTGGCACTGTGTTGGTGGGCAAGATCCCAGCTTTCAAGGAGTGTGCCCGCTAGAAGCTGAGAGAAGGCCTGTGCACAGCATCTATAGCATGGTCTGCTGAGACATGGGAAAATCTCTTAGAGGAGGTAGCATTTCAGCTCAGCCTTGAAGGGTAAGTTGGATTTTATATGTAACATCTGTCATTTTTTCCTGACTCTATCAGAAATAAGTGTTTATTGTAGAAAATTAGAAAATGTAGAAGATAATAACAGACATTTATAGAGTTATTATCACGCATGGGACACAGTGTTAAATCCTGTGTATGGAAAAATCTCATTTAACCCCCAGCAACCCTGTAAAGGTGTGATTATTCCGTGCATTTCAAAGGCAAGGAAAGGGAGGATAACAGAGATTGAGTGGGTGAACACTGGATACGTAATTGGAAAATTGGCAGAGGCAGTACTGGAACCCAAGTCAACCTGGTGCCACAGAAGAAAATAAATCAATATTAAGCCCAATTCTTTCAGTCTCTGTTTTTCCCTACGCACGAGGCTTTCCTGGTTCTCTTGCTGCCTGTGCTCTCTTAGTGGTCATCACTCAAGCATGATCAGCACACAGGTGGTCACAGGTGGCATATGAGTGGATGAGATTGCCAGGGAAACACACAGAGAAGAAGGGAAAAGGCCCTGGGAACAAACCCCGAGCTACAGAGATGGAGACACCCTCCCAAGTCTGGGCTGGGTGGAGAGCAGGCAGCATCAGGGAAAACTTCACAGTGGTGGTAATCTCGGAGCTGAATCTTAGAGCGTGAGAAGTTTGCCAGGTGGAGAGGAGGAAGACAAGTGTCCTGAGCAAAGGGAACAGCATTTGCAAAAGCATATCAGATACAAGGGACAACATGGTAACTTGGAAAACCAGCAAGTGATTTCACTGTGGCTAGAGCAAAGGGCGTGTATGTGTGAGTGTGTCTGTGTGTTCATGTGTGTGCATGTGTCCGAGTGTGTCTCTGTGTAGGTGTGTAAGTATATCTATGTGTCTATGTGAGTGTGAATATATGTTCAGGAGGCTAGAGTGATGAGAGAGAGGCTAGAAAGGAAGGCAGGGTTTGGATCATTAAAGACCATGTATTTCTGTATTAGCTGGTTTTCCAGAGAATCAGATATATATATCCTATTGGTTCTGATTCTCTGGAAGAACAGAGAAAAATATCTATAGGAAGATTTATTATGAGGAGTTGGCTCATGTGACTAAGGAGGCTGAGAAGTGCCACAATCTGATATTTGCAAGCTGGAAAAGACCTGAGAATCAGGGGAGCCGATGATGTAAATTCCAGTCAGAGGGCTGGAGAAGATGAGACGAGATGTCCCAGCTCAATCAGTGAGGTGGGAAAAAAGTGATAAATTCCTGCTTCCTCCATCTTTTGTTCTATTCAGATTGGATGATGCTCAACCGCATTGGGGAGGGCAATCTACTTTACTGAGTCCGCAGGCTCAAATGCTACTCTCATCTGGAAAGACCCTCAGAGACATACCCAGAAACAATGTGTACACAGGGCAGCTGTGGCCCACTCAAGTTGGCACATAAAATTAACCATCACAATCTCTTATAAAAGGGTTGGAATATTTATGGAAAGAGTGGGAACAGAGTGAAGAGATCTCTGAAGGCCAGCTAATTGGTATAAACTTTATTCTTTTATTGAGGTCACATTGGTTTATAACATTACATAAGTTTCGGGTGTACATCATTATATTTCAATTTCTGTGTAGATTACATCATGTTCACCACCCAAAGACTAATTACCATCCATCACCACACACATTGCAAATCACCCCTTTCGCCCTCCTCCTTCCCCCCTTCCCCTCTGGTAACCCCCGATCCAATCTCTGTCTCTACGTGTTTGTTGTCGTTTTTATCTTCTATTTATGAGTGAGAACACTGGTATTTGACTTTCTTCCTTTGACTTATTCATATAAACTTTATTTAGCTGGAAGGCAATGGGGAGCCTTTGAATTTTTTTCAAGAGAGGAATGACAAGATCAGAACTGGGCTTTTGGAAGATTCTTGGACAGGATGGTTTGGAGAAGGAAGAGGCAGGAGAGAAGGAGATCAGTTGGTAGAAAACAATAATAGTCAAAATGAGAGGTGCTTAGCACATGTATTAGGATGGTAGCTACAGGGTGACAGTGGTTTCTTAGGGTGAAGGGATGGGTGGCTTTCAATTTCAAGCTCTGATTAGTTGATTTATTGTGGTGAAGGGAAGGGTGATGGTGGATTTGGGGTGACAGATATGAGAAACATCAGACAATCTACTGGGTTATCTGGGAAAGTCCACTGCTGAACATTCAAAACAAAAGTTCAAAAGCACGTCCTTCCTCCTTTCATTGACCAATTTACAACAAATATTTGCTGGGTGCCTACTCTGTGCCAGGTCTATGCATGGGGAATCCCTAGTCCAGTGAGCAATCTAGACATATCATCAGACTGTAACAATCTAGCATTACAAAAGCCCAGAAACCAATAGCCTCAGAAGGGGAATGGGCAGTTGAAACACCCAAGCTGGTATTGAAGGATCTAGGCTACCTCCCTGTAGGAGGGAACTTCTAAGCTGAAAATTCTAGCCAGCCAGAGGAAGAGAGTCCCTTACGTCAGGCAGAGACATTGTGGGGGAGCTGGGGAGCCCCAGGTGAGTAAGATCTGGTTTCTGCCCTGGTGGGTGGAGACAGACAAATGAACAAGATAATGCCATTTGACACAAATGCAGCTAAGTCATGCATATATGTTATATCTTTCTTTAATCAAAAAAGAAAACTCTCCTCCGTGCAAACTTACCCTTTTTAAGGTTGAGCTGTCTAGAACCACACCCACCAGGACGACAAAGTGGGACATGAGCCTTCCCACCAGTGCACCCGCAAGCCTTTGAAGGATGGGCGCAGAGTCCTCCTGGCTGCTGGAAGGAACCTAGTTAATGTGCCCTGGCGGCAGGTAGCTAATGGCCACAGATTCGGCCTTCCAGTGGTGTCCATAGCCCTGGCCCCTCCGCTCTCCAGATTTTTTATTTCCCTCCACGCGGGGGCAAACTGAGGCTGAAAGAGGACCGCTTTAATTGGTTTGGGGACCCGAAGGTGGGGGAGGGGGAGAGGGAGAAAAACACGCTTCGCGTACATCTTAAAGAAGAAAGGAAAGTGAAATTCGAAACGCTGGGGCAGAAAGCGACCCCAGGCACACACTTTGTGAACCGCTGGGGGGAGCACACCTCGGGGCGGGGGGCGGGGGTCACATGCCCAACCCACCACCCTCCTCTTCTGGTCCCAAAGCTGGGAGCCTGAGGGGCAGGGACAGCAGCAGGGGGGCAGCATCCGCGTCTCTAGGCTCCCACAGGCCCCCCAATTTCCAGGCCGCTGCTCCCCACTTCCTGTAGCCTTGGTCACCGCCGGGGGCCTGTCTGAGGGGCGGGGCTGCGTGGAGAAGAATTGAGAAAAAAGCGAGAAATTAGCATCCTATGATCCCATTGGCTCTGCGCTGGCCCTGCTTTACATACGCCCGCCCCGCTGGCTGCTCGGGTTTGCGGGCTTCGGTAGGGTTTGCAGCCGCCGCGGTCTCTGCTGCGCTTGAGTGCGGGGCGGGCGGGCGGGCGCCGAGCGAGCCCGGGCCGGGAGCCGGGAGCCCGGAGCCCGGAGCCGGCTGCCGGAGGAGCTGCTGCTGCAGTGGCATCTGGGTCGATTTCCGTCCTACGAACACCGAGGCCGGCGCCCGGCGGCTTCTGCGCCCACCCGGGCCCAGGGAGGAGCGGGTCGGACACTTTTTATTTTATTTTGGAAGAAAGGGGCGAGTCCCGGCGTGAGCTTCCCTCCCGGCCTGGCTTGCTCCTCAGTGCGCCCCAGCTCCGGCCCGGGCTCTGGAGGATGACTCCGGGGTCTGCCCTGTGTATTCCAGCGGCAGCGGCTCCGGGAGGCAGCCGAAAGTAGTAACACTTGGTAGTAGCGGCTGGTGGAAAAGTGAGCCGAGGCAGCGCAGACTCGGCTCTCCCCGCGCCCCGGCGTCTGCAGCTCCTTCCCCTCGGCTCCCCGGCGGCCGCAGCATGAAGTGGCGCAGCGATGGCCAGGAGAGGTAAGAAGCCCGTGGTGCGGACGCTGGAGGATCTGACGCTGGACTCGGGTTATGGTGGCGCGGCGGACTCGGTGCGCTCCTCCAACTTGTCCCTGTGCTGTTCCGACTCGCACCCGGCGTCCCCGTATGGCGGGAGCTGCTGGCCGCCTCTAGCTGACTCCATGCACAGCCGGCACAACAGCTTTGACACCGTCAACACTGCCCTGGTGGAAGACTCCGAGGGGCTGGACTGCGCCGGCCAGCACTGCTCGCGGCTGCTGCCGGACCTCGACGAGGTCCCCTGGACCCTCCAGGAGCTGGAGGCGCTGCTGCTGCGCTCGCGGGATCCCCGGGCAGGCCCGGCGGCCCCCGGCGGCCTGCCCAAAGACGCGCTGGCCAAGCTGTCGACTCTGGTGAGCCGGGCGCTGGTACGCATCGCCAAAGAGGCGCAGCGCCTGAGCCTGCGCTTCGCTAAGTGCACCAAGTACGAGATCCAGAGCGCCATGGAGATCGTGCTGTCTTGGGGCCTGGCGGCGCACTGCACGGCGGCCGCGCTGGCCGCGCTGTCCCTCTACAACATGAGCAGTGCCGGCGGCGACCGCCTGGGCCGCGGCAAGTCTGCGCGCTGTGGCCTCACCTTCTCCGTGGGCCGCGTGTACCGCTGGATGGTAGACAGCCGCGTGGCGCTGCGCATCCACGAGCACGCCGCCATCTACCTGACTGCCTGCATGGAGAGCCTCTTCCGGGACATCTACGCGCGGGTCGTGGCCTCCGGGCTGCCCCGGAGCTGCAGCGGTCCCGGCCCGGGCTCTAGCTCAGGTCCAGGCCCCGGCGCGGCCCCCGCGGCGGATAAAGAGCGGGAGGGGCCCGGAGGGGGAACGGCGAGCGGCGGCGCCTGCAGCGCAGCCAGCAGCGCCAGCGGGGGCAGCAGCTGTTGCGCCCCGCCGGCCGCCGCTGCCGCGGCCGCAGCCCCGCCGGCCGCCGCGGTTAACCACCACCATCTCCACCACCACGCGCTGCACGAGGCGCCCAAGTTCACCGTGGAGACGCTGGAGCATACCGTCAACAACGACTCCGAGATATGGGGGCTCCTGCAGCCCTATCAGCACCTCATCTGCGGGAAGAACGCCAGCGGTAAGTGGCCGCGCAGGTGCCGCCCCCTCCCACCCAACCCGGCCGTCCGTCCTCACAAGTTTGCTTCGCGCCCCCCTCCCCCGTCGTTCCTCCACCCACTGCTGTCCCAAGCCTCTGAGGGGACCGCCGAGTTGGAGGCGGCCCCAAACCCACCGGTTCCCTCCTGCGCTCGGGATCCTCGTACTTGACGCGGCTCCTATGGTCCCAAGTCCGAGAGCGTGCGTTTCCGCCCCCAGTTTGGGGCGGGGCAGCGGCTGCCTCCTGCCGGCTGTGGGGAGAACGCAACACCCTGTTGGGGGGCAGGTTTGCAATCATTTGCGCCTAGTATATATTTCTGCCAGAGCCCTGGTTTTTTGACCTTGAAGATTCTGAATTCCCGGGCGCACAAGTTTGGCTCTCTGGAATTAGGGAGGAGGCGCATTCCTCCCTCCGCCGCCCAGTCCGTGTGCTTTCCCGCGCCCTCGGGGACACTGTCGGTGCGCGGGTGAAGGAGAGGCCCCGCGGCTGTAAAGGCAGAACGTTTGAGAGCTCGCTCGGCCTACAAACAGGAGGGGAGAGGTGGTGTGTGTGTGTGTGTGGTGAGAGGGCGGAGCGGGAAGACTTATAGGTCCCAAGTTCTTCCCGGGCAGGTTTTGAGGGCCAGAGCGCACAGCTGGTGTGTGCTGCGCAATGGACACCGAATTCCGACCTCCCAGCTCTGGCAGCCCTCGGTTCCCTATGGCAGAGAGTTGCAGCTGTCACCACTTGGCTTCAGGAGCGCCAGTCACTGGGGACCCGGGCAGGATGGGAGTGGGGCGGGGTTCTGGAGGGGGTTGTCAGTTTAGGGCGTCGTTTCTAGCAGGTTCCGTCATTCCCTCCCGCACCCTCCTGTTTTGGAGGCCAGAGCTAGGTGGGTTTGAACCTGCAGTTCTGGCGGCGGAGGGGGTGGGGCCGGAGGTTCTTGTTTTCGAGAGCTCGAGCTGGCGGTCCTGCCTGTCTGCGAAAGCCGGAGCTAGACACTTCAAAGCTTCAATTTTCCACAGGAAATGGTAGAAGCGTAACTGGAGACTCTAAAAGCGAAATAAAACTTTGTTACATATTCAGCGGTTTGGCCGGAGGTTGCGTGGTTGGAGCTGAAATGCAGTCTTTCTGGGCAGATTTCATTCATGTTGCTGCCTGTCCGTTTCCCGGGGGCTGAAGGAGAGATGCGGCGGGCGCGGTCCAGCTTCTCGGGGTGCCAAGTGTGTGCATGTGAGTGTGTGCGTACATCTGCGTGTGTAAGTGTGCCTGTGAGTGTGCGCAGGAGCGAGCAGAAGCGCGGCTCCAGCAGAAGCCCCTTGGAAACCGACCCTCTAGCTCTCGGTCCCTTCACCTGGCTTTGATCATCGTTGGGGGAGGAGTAGGAAGGGAGCAAAGCTTGTGTGTGTGTGTGTGTGTGTGTGTGTGTGTGTGCGCGCGCGCGCGCGCGCGTGTGTGTGTGTGGCGGGGGCGGGCTCGCGACTTCCGCGTTGATCCCCAAGACTCTTCGGGATCTCTTTGCCAGAGCCCTTCCCCCACTGCTGCCAATAGAGGGCGCAACCCCTAAAGAGAGGGTATCTGCGAGGCTCCCCATCCCCCCACCCCACGCCACCTACACGTGAAATCCGGACCAAGATGGAAACATCTGGGAGAAGGCATTGGTCTTTGTGTGCGCTTCTTCAGAAGCGGAAGGATTCACCTGCAAAACCCAGGAGCTTTGGCCTGCATTGTTCATTGTTTGGAACCCTACCCCCCCCACCCCCAAAAAAGTGCAGTGGGGCTCAATTTTCTTCCCACCGGAGCACCCACCGACCTGGTTCTTACTTCCCCCATTACAATTGTCCTTTACTCCCTACTGGCCCCCCAAACTCCTATCCCCCTGCTGGGACCGGAACCTCCTCTTACTTCTCTCTCAGTAGTTCCTTTGGGGGCAAGGAGCATTCCCCTGAGGGGCTCCAGGCTGGCACCCTGCCCCACCTCTGTCTTTACCATTCTCTTGAAGTTATGACTTTGGTTGATGCACTTCCCTTCTCTGGGCCCCAGTCTCCTCATCTGTAATAAAAGGGCCTAGATCTGTGATATACCCCCAGGTCCTCTCCCAGCTTGGTCTCCTAGCCTCTGTATTTTTTCAAATTGGTTTTACTTTTATGATCTTTAACATCTTTTAAAGACAGTTTTTTTGTTTATCCTTTTTGGAGTAAGTATAATTTAAGGAAGGAGAAGGCCACAGAATTGGTTTTGGGCAGGCTGAGTGTGTGGCGGTTGGGGTTTGCTGCCATCACAGCGTTTCGAACACCACAGAGCTTAACTCCTGGGTTTCAGGGCCCCTTCAGCCATCTCTTGGTATGAGATATACTGTAATTTCATTGTGAGCTCTTTTTCTCTTTTCCTTGGGCTTATTTAAAATGGCAGGTCCTTTATGCTGAAGAGTTAGAGTGAGTGATTAATTTCTTGTGTATCTGAAACATACATTAAACGTCAAACCTATTGCTTAAACTGTTTTGCATGGCAGTCTTTCTGCTCTGCAAGCCTTATTAAGGAGCCCATGCCTTACATAATTGATTTTTTCCCCTTTAACTCAGTAGCATCACTTATTCATTCACTTGTGAGTTCATTGGCTCATCAATATTTATTGAGCAGTCAGTAAATCTAGGGTCTGAGCAAGTACAGAGGTAATAACGGCTGACACTCCTCCAACACTACTCTATGTTGACCCATTTGGTCTTCACCATTCCCTTGAAAAGGTACTACTATTATTCCCATTGTACAGAGGAGGAAACTGAGGCATAGTGAACTTAAATGTCTTGCTCTTTAGTGACAGATGAGTTCCCTGCCTTCAGGCCATCCTTCTTGCCCTTCATTATCTACACAGTGAAACAGAGACCCCTCACAGCCTGACATTCTTTCTTCCCGATTTATACACCTTTTGTTCCTATCAAACTGAACCGGCAGTACTGGCTTTTGTGTTTTTATCGCCTCTGCCAAGTGTAGGGGCCTGGTGCACACAGCTGGAGCTCATGAGATGCCTGTTGAGTTGAGCAAGCTATTGTGTAATATTATCCAATGATGTCCGGAAAGAAGCCATTGATTTTTGAGTTTCTTGAGTCATCTTTTCTAGTCTTTCTACTCGGTCGCCCCTTCTCTGCTTACTGCCATCTCTGCACCTGTCCACCCTTCTAATTTGCTGCTACTACGCTGCCAAGGCCCGTGGAATCCTGAAGCTAATCATATGGGGCTCAGAGGATTTGGTGGCTCTCAAAAATCACGTGCAATGGGCTGAGGGCTTGAACTTTGTGGCCACCGTTTTACTCTTCAGAGCTGTTTGTTTCTTTGTTGATTTTTGGCTGTTTTGAAGAGCTGGGGTAACAGCTAAGAGACCCCAGGGAGTGTTGCATATCTGTGGGGTTTTAAAATTTGGCTTGCTTGATTTTGCTAAAGCTAAATGAGGAGCAGACAGAAGGGCTTCACCATGCCATTGTATATGTTTGCCCTTTAACCTTAAGCCCCTTCAGAGCTGACCAGTTCCCGCCCATCCTTGAAGACTTGCCTAAGAGTGATCTTTACAGCATCTCTGTGAGGGCCTCCTGGGTGCAACCCCTCCCCACTCCCCAAACCCAGGCCTTACGTAGCCTTTTCCCCATCCCTTGGGAGTCCTGACCTTGACTTTGCTTTAAGTGACTCCCTCTCACACTGCGGCACCTCCAGTGCAAGCTTGTATCTTATTCATCTTTGTAGCTCCTTCCATATTACTCAGCACAGCACCTAGCACTCCTGGCACTTAGTAGATGCTGAGTACTGTTTGTTGAATGAATATAACAGGCCCATTAAATCCTTGGGATTTAAAATTACCCGTCAACATCTGTAATCAACGTCTGTAAAGGCCTCTGATGTCAGACCTCCTGGATTTGAGTTTCAAGGCTGCCAATTTCTAGCTGTTTGTTCTTAGGTATGTTCCCTAACCTCTCCGAGATCCAGTTTCCTTAGCTGTAAAATGGAGGTAATAATTATGAGGATTAAATGACATTATGTGTATAATGGTCTTACAGTCTGGTGCCTGACACACTTTAGGAGCCAGAGCGGTGATGGTAGTTGTGATAATCCAGGCCCAATGGTATCTCACCTCTATCTCATCCAGATTAACTCATCCCCATCCATTCAGTGTGGATGGAGCCAGCAGGGTGCAGAATTTTAACTGGACCCCCTTCTCGATATTCCTAACGTCAAATAATTCAGTGCATCCACTTCAGCGATTGACCCCCATGGGCACAGCCCCACTGCCAAGGTCACAAAAAGATTGTTTTGGTCAAAGGAAAATAGCTCATTTTGTTTGCTATATTTTTTTAAACAGGCATCCTTAGTGAAGGGGCACCAGGGAACTTTCTGGGGTCATAGAAATGTCCCTTGCACGCGTAGGGATGTGGGTTCAGAGGTATATGCATTTGTCAAAACACGCTGCCTTGTAAGCTTAAGACGTGCATTTCACTGTATTGCAAAATATACTTCAATAAAAAAAGACATACAAAAAAAAGCCATAGGCATCCTTGAATGAAATTTTGTTTTAAATGTAGAAAGAATTTGAAGGGAAGACTGGATGGAAGAGGCAGTGTGGTGTGATGAAAGGGAGAAGGACTTGACACTTACAAGATTTAGCCTTTAGTTTCGGCTCTGCCACTTACTGGCAAATGACTTTTGCTGAATTTGGATTTCTCATCTGTACAGTGAGAATTACCAAAAAAAAAAAAAAAAGAAAGCATAAAAAAGGAAGACAACCCAAACCTACCACATAGAGTGATTAAAGGGATTAAGTCAGATCAAATATGTGAAAACACCTGCCACATTGCAGGCACTCGATAATAACGGCTTCCTTAAAAAATGGATTATTCGGGTTGGTAATAATAATAATACTTTGGGGATTTTGAATAGTCTCTTTCATTTCAGGGATCCCCAATCACTATAAGCATTAATTAACATGAGCCCTCGCCCCACCAACACTGGTTTGGTGG